GACAAGTGGCGGCGTAAGATATCAGCAACCCGCTCCTTTCGACCCAGCTAATAAAGGCATGACAGTGCGGCAGTGGATATTCGCCATGAATATCTATTTTAACGCGGCGGGCATCCGAGACGATCAGAAGCGGATCAAACACGCGTAAACACTGTTGCAAGGGGTCGCCCTACAGTGGTGGAAGGTCATCGTCGACTCAGCGGCAACTCGCACAGAAGGATAGCACGAGTGGTCCGAAGAATTCGGCGACGAAGACGAGGCAGATTTCCTGTTCGGGGCAACCCACATTTGCACGTGGGCAACGACGTGCCCAGAGCTTCGCAAGCGGTTTGAGCATGCTCCTGACTCAGACAAGGCACGCGAGACTCTACGTATGTGGAAGCAGCTGGGAACTGTGTTCGAGTACACCGCGTTATTCTTGACGTTGGTGGACAGATATGGCTACATGCATGAGTTGGAGAAGATCGATAGGTACATGGACGGTTTGAAGCCTGAAATTCAGTACCAGATAAAACTGCAACGCCCTGTGAAGTGGTTACAAGACTACATCCAGCTTGCCGAAGCCGCTGATTCCCTCACGAAGCTGAGGACGAACTTCTACGACGGAGGTCGCCCTCGAGAACAGTACTAGCGTGCCACGATAAAAGGGGTGGACGCAATGGATATTTACGCAGTTGCTCAACAAAATACGGGCTATGCTACCACTGTGGTTGGCCGGGTCACATCCGACGCAATTGCCAAGATTTCATAGCCCTCTAGAATTCTATGGGGAAGAAGCCGGAGGAGCGACCGGGAAATGGGTCGCGTCAGTAAGTACCGGGCCCCTTACTGACGGGCAGGCTTCTTCACCCGAGCCACACATTCCCCTCCGGATCGTGATCCCGATTGCTGCAATCGACCGGACCCGGACGAATAAGGGGGACGAAAATGCGCATCACCCTGTGTTGGTGGAGGGTAAAGACAACGGGGTGTTATTGAAGATTTTCATTGATGGAGGCGCGAGTCAAGGTCTCATACAAGTGGACAGGGCCAAGAAATTGGGTATACCCTTACTCAAGTGTCTACCTAAAATCGACGCCCGACTGGTGAACGGAACACTGCTGGCAATACGGGAAAGAGTGGAGAGCTGTCACAGGATCGAATGTGTCGAGGAAAGGTTTGCTCAATGTTGAACTATCAATCAGTACAAGGCGCTATTATACTTCCAGAGTACATCAGGTAACCAGGTTTATCTTATCCTAAGGGAATAGACCCTTCTAGAAATAGAATCACCATGCGTATAGCCACGCGAGGCTATTGGCTTTAAGGGATTACGGCAGGATTACGCTAGATATAGCGCGCCAGTACATCCCGAGCCTGGTCGGTGATATAATTATAATAACAGGATAAACCAAAGGATAGTGTAAAAGGAGGAATAGGAAACCAAATGAGATGAGATAAAGACCAAATGAATGAGGATAATAAGAGGAATGAAATAGAAAGGAAATATGGAAAGGGGAAATTGGTGTAACGGGGTCGTACTCTCACACTTCCCCCCCTCAAAGCTGGGTGGTGGAAGTAACACCCTGCTTGACAAGGTAGTCGCGAAGAGGACGACGGGCGTTACCCATGTCGAATTCAGAGACGCAGCCTCAGAAGTATCATAACCCTTCCAGCAAAGAAGAAGCTCCAGAGTGCCAGTCTGACGATGACGGTGTCCAAGTACGTAGTTGTCCCATGTCGTGGATGAACACGGGCGACGACAGTGGTTGGCATTCGGTATAGAGCGTGTTTGGTCTTGATAGGGTTTAAGAAGCTGGTATGGAAGGCGGTATGGATCTTCCAAGTGGCTGGTAGGCGGAAGCGGAAGTTGAATGAAGTGGCCTTCGCTTCAAAGGGTATAGTCCCGCAGAAGCAAGGTTGAAGCTTGGATGGAAGTTGGCTGATGTCGAGATTATGGTCTTGAGAAGGGTAGTGATGAGTTGCCAAGTGCTTGTGCTGATGTTGGATGTCCAAGAGGGCGCTTGTGTGGTCGATGTACAAGATGGTGGACGATGGCGATGAAATCGGAAGCCAGTTGGACTGTGGCTGGTATGGTTAGCTGTTGTGGTGTGAGCGGGTTGCGTCTGTAGGTGGTACGCGGATGGCGTTGATCGTGATCGAGATGCTGTAGCGGAAGAGTAGATGTACTGTCCTTTCGGTGGGTGCTCTAGCTGGCACACTGTAGCATGCGTTGAGTCTCGGGTAGCACATCCTGATGTTACTCGCATCCCGTCCACGTATGAAGACGATCAAGTGTTGGTGGTGTTGCAGTCGTGTCATAGTCCTGCTTCTGTAGCAGCGTTGTATCAGATACATACAGCTTCTGTCGAATGATAGTCCATGCCGTAGTGTTGTCGCGAGTCGTACCCACTCAGCATTATAGTGCTGCGGGAATGGAGAGCAGAATCACTAGTAGTAACCCTGTCCACCACGCGGTCTGCTACTCACATTGCCTTGAGTACAACAGCGCATGCGAAGTGCTGCTCAGCGTATCCCTTGTGTTCAAAACCATGCGAGGGGTTGGAACCATAAACGCGGAGCTGGTAACTTCCAGAATCGGCGCCAAGTAGTTTCCCTCGGTGGTTGCTCAAGCAAGGAATCTCAGGTACGTAGATATCCCATGGTGATGGGTTAGGATATCTGGGAACGTTACGGGTATTCCCAAGTAATCCTCTCCCATTTCCAAATGAGCATTGGTGACAGCCAATCCAGTATGACCTTGTGCGCTTCCAGTTTAGCACGGAGGCCATCGGTAGGCATCGGTGTCTGGGCGCACATACTGGGATAGGTCTTCTGGTGCCATCATGTGTTGTCTCATTTTGTCACTGTCCTTGAAGTAGCGTTGATGTAGAAGATGTCTCAGCTACCCAGCATCAGTGTTGAAGTCTGCTCCATTTCGGCAAACAGGGGTGTTATTGGAGATACGCGGAGTCCACTATCCGGAGTGGCGTCGGCGCTTCATTCCACGCCTATCTGCTTCCGTGGAGTTGGTGCTGGTGATGGATTGGTTGCGACGCAGGTTTTATGACTTTAAGGAAAGCCATAGGCCATGAGGACTTGTATACCGGTAGAGTACCGTGGTCCTCCCATCCTCATAAGAGCAAATACAGTGGCGGATTAAATTGCCCGGATGTTTAACACTTTGAAACGTATCGTTATGCAACACATGTTTCGAAAATAGTAACACCCGTTTTTTTCCATTCTGTTACTCGGTTTTTGAGTTCTGCTTCATCCGTTTCTTGCTTGGCGCGATTGTGACACTAACGGAAAGTGGGGTTGAAATTTACTACTCGACTGTCGATGTGGACATTTCCTACCGAGCGGAAGAGTAGATCTATTTTCCCCCGTCGCTCAGTGTGTACATCGTCACGCGCACCAGTTCCTAGCTTAGTTGTTAGTCCGGAAGCGAGCCTACGACCGCATCGCTATGAAGCCGTTAAATGAGAAGAAGCGCGCGAGGATCAGAAGCATGTTGCGTGCGGGGCATTCGACTAGGAAAATAGGGAAACTTCTTGGCATAGGCAAGAGCACCGTGCACGATTACGGTATGAAACTCGCTGAGGAGACTAGTCGCGAGGAGGTGCGACCTACAATGCCTTCGGCCGGCCGCCCCCGCTTAATCACAACCCGTCTCCAGCGCGGAGTTATACGTGCGATTACTAGCGGCGAGGCGAAAAGCTCTTCAGACGCGGCCAAGATGTTGTTGGAGAAGCACGATCTCGCCGTAGACTCGAAGACGGTCCGCAACTCTTTACGATCCGCGGGGCTGATCGCCGTGCATCAGCCCAAGAAACCCAGGCTCTCACCGAAAAACATCCGCGATCGTCTCGACTTCGCGCGGGCGCATGCCGACTGGACGCTGGAGGACTGGAAGCGGGTGATTTGGTCTGACGAGACGAAGATAAACCGCTACTGCTCCGACGGACGTGCGTACGCCTGGATTCGCGAGGGCACCAGCCTTCGGAGCCACCAAGTCCAACAGACAGTTAAGCATGGGGGCGGTTCTGTGATGGTGTGGGGTTGCATGACGTATGAGGGGGCGGGGTTCATGTGCAAGATAGATGGCAGGATGGATGGGCCGCTGTATCGCAGCATCTTGCAAGATGAGCTCAAACAGACCATCGATTTTTTCAAGCTTTCCCCCTCAGAGGTCATTTTCCAGCACGACAATGATCCCAAGCACAGGTGTCGTCTGGTCCAAGACTGGCTTGGGGAGCAGGAGTACGCGGTGCTGGAATGGCCGTCGTGCTCCCCGGACCTTAACCCAATTGAGCACCTGTGGGCATACTTGAAAAGGCAGCTGGGGAAGTACGAAAAGCCGCCAAGGGGAATGCTGGAGCTGTGGGAGAGGGTGCAGGAGGAATGGGACAAGATACCGCCGGAGGTGTGTGCAAACCTGATCGACAGCCTGCCGAGGAGGATCAAGGCAGTGATTCGGGCAAAGGGACGCTGGACTAGGTACTAGTTTTCCTAGAATCTAGTGTGATACCATTTTCCGGTACAAATTGTCCACATGTTCTCCCATGCTATGCTTAGGAGTTTAAGGACCATGTGTGGTACTACTTTGGTGTTTGAACACTGGAGTGACTGCTCTAACTGAACTTCTCAGCGTTAATGCACACCGTACATTAAGGCTTAATGTATACGCCTCTGCACTCATAAAAATGCCAAAAAAGGCAAAACATGTGGACAATTTAATCCGCCACTGTATCTTCCGCTCTTGAGGGTGTATGGCATTGCCATGTTGTTTCCTCGCATAGTGGTATCTCCTTCCCACTAGCTGGAAATCATAGTACTGTGCCTGGCCGGGACTTAACGATCCACTGGAATATAATCCAGCATTATCTCCATTGAGTGGAGAATCATCCATCAGGATTTGGATATGACTGTTGTGTCGAGTCTTCTGCTGCGGCGGCGGCGGCGGTTGCGACGATGGCGACGGCGGCACCTGCTGCAGAGAATTCTCTTAACTCATACCGGTTGAAGGAGAATCCATCAACTCCCCCTTCCCAGTAGAGTGTTCCTGATGGGTGTAACAGGCGTAACTACCAGGAACACGTGCACATTGGTACACATGTGTTGCTCCATTGCTGCCGGTGATTGTTTCATTTGAGGGTGTGAAGAGAAATTTGCTTCTCCCCTCAAAGTATCCACGGGTAGCAATTCCTGGTATGCTCATCCGTGCCTCCGATGTACGGTCGGTAGAGCGCGTGATCGTGTTGTAGTAGTCCGCATCTCCCTCATTTGTTGACACCTCGTGTTGCTTGACGTTCTCCTGCATCGTCGAAGTTACGCTGATGCTTGTAACGCTTCGGCTTCTGGTAGAATCGCCTCCAATGCATGTGCCGTAGGGTCGCTAGTGAGCGAGTACTTGCCGGATTAGAGGTTAATTACTCCTCAATCTGTCAAGCATCGTGACATGCACGGAAAATTTTCCACGCAGTTCATTAACACCTGGAATCGCGACGCATGATTGGTGTGTCGCCTTGTGAGGTTGATGTTGAGACTGCTCCAATCAATCACTTCGGATGGCTGAGATTCTTGATGAAGACGAATCGTTCAGCTCCTGTTACGAAGTAGTGTCTCGCTGGCCTTGACGAGACGGGTTCACTGCGTCGTCGTTGCGTGCGAAATCTGCTCCTTCGCAGCAACTTAAACTTGGGAGCATTGCAAGAGAAAACGGTTACTTCTCTGCAATCCCATAGGTTGTCGATCAATTTGTATGAAGAAGTGTCTCGTGGATGGAGAACATGTCTTCACGCAGCTCCATTGTTTTTCCTGGGTGAAGATCTCGCTGTGTTGATGTCGATCCATTTTTAACGAAGATGACTTCGTCAAAATAACTCGATCGTTATCGACACCAGTCAGAAGATGCGTCGATTGTGCAGTCGCTGGTCACGAATGTTGTCTCCATGATGATGATTTCCCATTAGTATAGTCTCTGCTGCATTCGTGCCGTTGATTCCGCAACGATCCGACGATCCACGTTCTCGTGTCAATTTTCTGCTTGCAGCTATTACCAAGTAGGTAATACTCTGGCAGGTTTCTGACTCGGCAGATAATTTGCGCGCCAAATTCGTCAGCAATTGAAGAAATTCGAATCTGGTTGTCCAGATGATGTCAGCGGTGTCGAAAGCGGCTGATTTCTTGTTCTGCGCGTTATTCTCACTTTGTGCAGAAGTCGCGCTCCATCTCGTCCGTTGAAGTAGAAGTCGATCCGACGGTCCAAACTCCAAGCGATCTGAGGATACTCCTGAGTCGCGTTCAGCAGCTTTTGGCACCCGGGTTGACTCGTTTCTTGCAGCAATTCTCGGTCGTCGATGTCGGCTGTCGAACGATCGGACGCTCCGAAAACCTTCGCGGCTTGCGAGGTCCCGTTCCCATTCGCGCCGAAACGCAAACTCGCTCAGACGGATTTCGTTCTCGCCTCGGTCGATCTGAAGCGTCGAATCTCAATCGGACGGATGTCGTCGGTCGCAGCTCCGCAGAGTTCCGCGCAACTCCAAGTGTTGTCGCGAACTGCGAACTTCTCCGAATGTCGCAGGGAGTGTTCCGCCGGAACTGACGCGCTCGCCAGGTCGAGGCCGTTTGCCCCCGCGAAAAATCGGCACCGTCGATGCAGTCCATCGAACGGTTGGCGAGGCATCTCGCCATGGATGGGAGGACCTGCGCGAGGATTGTCGAAACTTAAATGAAAGTGCATCGTACTTACAGGAATTGAAGTTTCGACTCCATCCTCCGCGTGCTCCTGGGGGCCCAGCGGTTAAGCGTTGAGCTGAAACCTTTGCTCTGATTACCAAGTGTCACAGGATCGAATGTGTCGAGGAAAGGTTTGCTCAATGTTGCACTATCAATCAGTAGAAGGCGCTTTTATACTTCCAGAGTACATCAGGTAACCAGGTTTATCTTATCCTAAGGGAATAGACCCTTCTAGAAATAGAATCACCATGCGTATAGCCACGCGAGGCTATTGGCTTTAAGGGATTACGGCAGGATTACGCTAGATATAGCGCGCCAGTACATCCCGAGCCTGGTCGGTGATATAATTATAATTACAGGATAAACCAAAGGATAATGTAAAAGGAGGAATAGGAAACCAAATGAGATGAGATAAAGACCAAATGAATGAGGATAATAAGAGGAATGAAATAGAAAGGAAATATGGAAAGGGGAAATCGGTGTAACGGGGTCGTACTCTCACAAGAGCATTGGTTTTACCTGTGGCAAGCATGTCAAATTTCGGATGGGACTACTGGCGACTACTCTCGATGGGTGCGACGTGCTGCTGGGACGTGATTGGTTGCGACGGTACAACCCGAAGATTGACTGGACAACAGGCGGCTGCAGCATCAAGCTCGATGGGATCTCCCGCGAGCTGCCCAAGTAGACGAGGCCTTGCATGCGAAGCACCCAAGTCCATGCGATCACTTTCAAGCGCGCAATGAAAGCGGGAGCTGCAGCGTACGCCGTTGATCTTCGCGAGGTAACGTCGACGGTCAAGACCAAAGATATCGCGAAGCTGTGCGAAGCCGTTCCTCCGGACTTAGCGGACCTGATTCGGAAATGCCCATGTATTTTCCTGGATGACATGCCAGCTGGACTCCCGCTGAGGCGACCAGAAGACCACCGCATCAAACTGGAACCAGGCGCCCAACCGAGGGTACAGCGACAATTTCGGCTCAGCCAACTAGACCTGGAAGAATTACAGCAGCAGCTGGATAACCTTCTGACAAAGGGATTTATCTGGCCCAGCACGTCACCATACGCCGCCCCCATACTGTTCATGCCGAAGAAGGATGGAGGATTCAGAATGTGTATCGACTACTGCGCGCTCAACCGGATCACCATCAAGTCGCGCTACCCGATCCCGCGAGCCGACCAACTTCTCGACCTTCTTCGCGGCGCCAAGTTTTTTCTCGAAAATCGACTTGCGATGAGGTTACCATCAGATTCGCGTCGTCGTCGAGGATTGTCACACGACGGCATTTCGAATCCACTACGGCAGCTACGAGTACCTGGTCTTGCCTTTTGGCCTCACGAACGTGCCCTCGACATTCCAAATGACCACGAACGGCATTTTCAAGGAACTCTTGGACAGATGCGTCATCATCTATCTTGACGATATACTAATCTACAGCCGCAACATGGACCAGTACTTACATGATCTTTATGCAGTCTTCACGCTGCTGCATAAGAATCGCCTCATCACCAAAGGGTCTAAGTGTGACTTTCTTAAGCAGGATTTGGAGTTTCTGGGCCACATCGTCTCTACTGAATGAGCGAAAATCGACCCCAAGAAAATCAAGACCATACGGGAGTGAAAGCCGCCAAGCAACATCAAGGAGCTGCAGAGTTTTTTAGGTTTTGTCAATTACGTTCGCAGGTTTATACCCAGTATGGTTGGGTTATCTGCCCGGCTAACTGACCAACTCAAGGATCACGACTTTTTTTTGTGGGGAGAGAAGTAGCAAGCTGCATTCGACCAACCGAAGATCGCCCTCATGTCGCCGCCTGTCCTTCGCATCTCTGATCCTGACCGTCCATACGAAGTCATCACCGACGCCAGCGACATCGTTATCGGTGCAGTTCTCCTACAGGATTTCGGCGACGGATTACAGCCGGTCGCCTACGAATCACGGAAGCTGCAGGGCGCAGAAAAAACTATACGGCACACGACAAGGTTATGCTGGCGATCGTCCATGCGTTCAAGACCTGGTGGTGCTACCTGACAGGCTCTGACGTCCCTGTGCGAACCGACCACAAATCCCTCCAGTACCTGCGAGGCCAGCCGAATCTCAACCCGCGATAGATCCGATGGCTCGATTTCCTCGAGTCAAACTTCCACTACACCATTACCTACAAACGGGGCGCCAACAACATTGCTGATGCCCTGACGCGACCCACTGCCCATACAGCCGCCATACTAGTTGCCCATACAAACCCACTCCTTACCGGACTATTTACGCAGGGCTACACGATTAACCCCTTCTTCCGCTCCGCCATTCACCAATAGCATACCACCGCTACCGGACACTAATTTAATAAGCGCGACGCATTTGGGTTCCCGGCTACGATTTACTTCGTACCCTGCTAATCCAGGAATCCCACGGCAACCCTACCTCCGGGCATTTCAGAGTTGACAAAACCATGAACACGTTGCAGCGCAATTATTCCTGGCCGAACATGGCCGACGACGTGCGCAAGTACGTGTCCTCCTGCACCGCTTGCCAGATCATGAAATCCTCCCATCAGCAAGCAGCCGGACTACTACAGCTGTTGGATCTGCCCGAACGACCTTGGCAACACGTCACGATGGACTACGTGACAGGACTGCCGGCCGGTCCCACCGGAAACGATGCCATCCTCATGGTCATCGACCGACTCACGAAAATGGCACACTTTATCGCCTGCCAACAGAAAATTAGAGCTGAGCAAACTGTCCAACTTTTCATCGCCAACTTCATCCGACTACACGGACTGCCCACCGCCATTATTTCAGACCGAGACCCGGAATTCACATCGAATTTCTGGCGCAACATGTGGGACCAATTCGGCACCAAACTACAGTTTTCCTCAGCCTACCACCCACAGACTGACGGGCAGACCGAACGGGTAAACCAAACTATGGAGCAACTCATTCGGACCACCTGCACTAACCCACAGACATGGGAGAAATCCCTTCCACTGCTGGAATTCGCGCATAATAACGCGCCTTTAGTCACCACCCATCAATCCCAATTTTTCCTCAATTACAGACAGGACCCAGTGGTACTCGCTACACCAAACATCGAGACACCCGTGCCCCGGTCCCAGAGATTTGCCGAAGACATCCTCGCAACCCAAGAGAAAGCAGCTGAGGCAATCCGGAAAGCCAGCATGGTCGCAAGCCAACAAGCCGATTGTCATCGACGTGACGTCACTAACAAAGTGGGAGATCTCGTACTACTCGGCACTCGCAATTTGCGTCTGCCGATCCCAAGCAAACTCCGACCCAGATTTTGTGGCCCCTTTCAAGTGACCAATATGGTGACACCTGTCACTGCCCACCCCCGACTCCCGACTGATTCGCGTCACCACCCGGCTTTCCACATCAACCTCCTACGGCCTTACGTTCCCAGTTTGTCGGACTTGGCACACCAACGCATTGTACCGCAACTGACGCCCCTGCAGGAACCGACGACCGAGCCCTTGAAGATTCTCTGCCATCGAGTTGTTAAATTATATATGCTAGCATATAATTGTAGGCTTGGTAGTGGTTACTGAACATTACAATAGAGGGTACAACACCCCTCCTTGTATCCCTCTCTCTTCCTAGTCAACTCTCTTTTCTCTCGTCAAATCTCCCTCTACTAGTTCTCCTAGCTCCTAAAACCTCACGCCACTTTCATGGCGTCCTAGATCCTAGTCTTTGACATGGTTTCAGAACAGGACGCACGTCCTAGGCCTGCTCCCCTCCTCGCTTCCGCTGCGTTCTCGTTCCCTGTGTGCCGCCATCGCGGCCTTCCTATTGCCTGCAGCCGTGGCATCTTTTCCAAGAGGCCGCGGCGGCCTTTGTGTGCTGTCGTCCCAGCGTCGACGAGCAGCCGCGGCTCCGACGCCACGCTGTGGTGGCGTCGTCGTGGTGCCGCGGCCGTGACGTCGGCATGTTGCCGTCGCGCACGACCTGCGTCGCTGCTGGAATTGCAACCCGCCCGCACGCCAGTAAGCGCCCGTCTGCAATGGCGCCGCGCTGAAGATCCGAAGCCCCGCCCCTTCCCCCTTCCCTCCGTCCCCTCCTCTTCGCCATAGCCGTCGCCTGACTCTCGCCGGTCGTCCCCCTGTCGCGAAGTATGGACACGCCGGCGGAAGGGCGGGGGCCTCTGCCATTACCGCCGTCGTAAGCCGAAGCCGTCACCGTCGCCGCTGTCGTCGCCGCAGGCCTGTTGCCGCCGCACGCCCGTCGTCGCCGTCGCTGTCGCCGCTGCCGGGACTGCCGCCGTCGCCATCTCCAGGGCCTTGGGGTTGGCCAAGCTGGAGTAGACGTGGCTGATGGGAATGGGGGTGCTAGGTTAGGGGGTGTGGGGGTGTGTGGGTCCTTGCTACCAAGCCTAGGGGGTGTGTTAAATTATATATGTTAGTCTTAGAAACTTAGGACACAAGGTTCTTAAACTTAGGAGGCTAGGTTGGCTAGGATACTCGGAGTGACGCCATGTAATATCGTGAGGAGGAGTAGATCTAGGGGTAGGCAAAAGTGACGAGAAAGAAGAGAGGCATGATTAGGAAGAGAGGAGTACAAGGAGGGGTTTGTACCCTCTATAGAAAGGTTCAGTAACAACCTACCAAGCCTATATAAAATTATAACTTATATAATTTTAACACACCCCCTAGGCTTGGTAGTCACACACCCACCCAACCCACCCCCTAACCCCGCACATCCTCAAGCTCGTGCTTAGCCGGGTATCTGACCCTCGTGCAAAGCGTTGACACACCCCCGTACACGAGGCAGCCTACGGCGTCTGGGCGGGTCAGCGACAAGCAGCGGCGGAGCTCTGGCTCAAGGCGGCTGGGTCGCCGACAACAGGCGGCGACCGCCGCGGCTGAGGGCTCTCGGCGATGTGGCAACGTCCGGGCAGAAGACAGCAGCTGCGACAGGAGGAAGGGAAGACGCAGGGGGAAGGGAGAATGGGGGGGGGGGGGGCGGGGCGAGTCTTCAGCGACGCGCCATTAATGGCGCGGCGCTTACTGGCGGGAGGACGTCGTCCTGAGGGACGCCCGTGGCTGGCGAGCGGGCGGCAGGCCCGGCGACGCCACAGACGTCGCTCGGCCGGCCGCAGCCCGACGATGCCGTCGGCTGCCGCAGACGCCGCCACAGCGCACCGTCAATGTCGCAGCGGCGAGGCGGACGGGCGACGGCTGCACCAAGGGGCCGTCGCGACACCTTGGCGCCGCGACGGTAGGCAACGAGGGGCCGTCGCGACATCTTGGTGCCGCGACGGCAGGCAACAAGGGGCCGTCGCGACATCCTGGCGCCGCGACGGCAGGCAACAAGGGGCCGTCGCGACATCTTAGTGCCGCGACGGCAGGCAGGCAGAAAACCGCGAAGGCTGTGAATGCAGCAGGAGTACGCAACGGGAACGTAGGGAGAGGGTCCGGTGGACACGGCCGGCTCTGATAACATCTTAGAAACTTAGGACACAAGGTTCTTAAACTTAGGAGGCTAGGTTGGCTAGGATCCTCGGAGTGACGCCATGTAATATCGTGAGGAGGAGTAGATCTAGGGGTAGGCAAAAGTGACGAGAAAGAAGAGAGGCATGATTAGGAAGAGAGAGGAGTACAAGGAGGGGTTTGTACCCTCTACAGAAAGGTTCAGTAACAACCTACCAAGCCTATGTAAAATTATAACTTATATAATTTTAACAGTTAGTATATAATTGTACGCTTGGTAGCGGTTACTGAACATTACTGTAGAGGGTACAACACCCCTCCTTGTATCCCTCTCTCGTCCTAGTCAACTCTCGTTTCTCTCGACAAATCTCCCTCTACTAGTTCTCCTAGCTCCTAAAACCTCACGCCACTTTCATGGTGTCGTAGTTCGTAGTCTTTGACACGAGTCACAACGCAGCTGAACCGCCGAATGGTGGATTTTCTCGTCAGATGGCGCGATTGGACGTCTGAGGATGACAGCTGGGTGCCCCTCGCTGATATAGAATCACACCCGATTATAACAGCGTATTATCAGCGTCGGAATGTTTCCGATGTTCGCGGCCTCGTTTAGGAGGGGGGGATAGTGTAAGGAATTTCCATTCCTTACCGAGTCGTACGCTAGCGCGTACACCCGAACTCCTCGACTCGTCACGTTCGACCTCATTTGTGGGCCCAACCCTTTTCCAAGTCGCGTCCAGCACTGTCGCACATTGCCGAACCTACCCACGTTCCGAGGTTATCGCCCTAGCACACCAACCCCTATATAACCTCGTGCCTTCATTGCAATAGCGACCTTGTATTCTCACATTTTAGTTCTTTGACACCTCCTATATCATAACATAAAACCTTAAAATTCGTCCGTGCTGCATTTCACCTCACAGACAGCTATGTTTCTCGCCTCCTTGCTTCACTTCTAGTCCTGATTCATTCCTCACCACTCAATACTGTGCACTCCTTCTGAACGATGGATGGCACGGCCTGGTCGGCTGCACCGCTCTTGACGCGCTCGTCGGATACGTCCGAGCTTCGCGGCGGAGCAGCTGCGATGGAAGCCGTGGCGCATCGCAATCGAATGGAGCAGGAGACGCAGCGACTGCTGAATGTCATATTCCGCGGTTCTGACGTGGCTCCCCGCACCTTACGGGACCGTGATGCCGTCGTCCCTAGATTCTCCAAGCGGCGCTTCGCGATACCTTCCCTAGATTCTCCAAGCGTCGCCTCGAGTAGCGGTGCTTTAGAGCAGGCGATTACGTCGGATCTCCCCGCCGATGCGGCTAACACTCCCTGCGTGCAGCAACCAGCCGGAGCGCCGATCGCGCCGCAAGATGCGGGCTTGATTCAGCGGAAACTTGAGCTGCTGCAGCAGATTCAGCAGCAACGCCTTAAGGAACTGGAATGGGAGCAGTGGCAGAACCAGCAGCAGCAGAACCAGCAGCAGCAGAACCAGCAGCAGCAGAACCAGCAGCAGCAGAATCAGCAGCAGCAGCAGCAACAGCTGCAGCAGCAGCAGCAGCAACAGCTGCAGCAGCAGCAGCAGCAGCAGCAGCAGCAGCAGCAGCAGCAGCAGCAGCAGCAGCAAGAACAACAGCTGCAGCAACAGCAACGGCAACAGCAGCGACAGCAGCAACAACAGCGGCTGCAGCAGCAGCGGCACCAGCAGCAGCAGCTTCTGCTGCAGAATCTGCAGCAGTCGTTGAGCGGTCGCCAGGCGGGTCTCAAAGCTGATTTTCATAGTGCCAGCGTGTCGCTTCCTCCCGCGATTCCCGATTCGTCGTCGAGCGGGATCGCCGGCGCATGCAGCGGCGCAACTGGCGGCGGAATCACCGCGTGTTCCGCAAGCGGCGGAGGGAACGTGCTGGCGGTCAGGGACAATGGCGAGGAGGCGCAGCGGTGGACCGATGCCTCGTCGGCAGGTGCGACGGGTATGCCGCGTGCGACGGGCTTGAACGGCGACACCATGCGATGGGTGCATGCGACGGGATCTGGTCGATTGCTCCTGCCGTTCGCGCGACAAAATATGTCGCGTTTATCCCCGCTGCTTCACCTTCCCGTCCTCTCTTTTTCTCTCTCGCTCGCTCACGCACTCATTCGCTCGCTTGTTCCGTCTATCTCGCTATCTCCCTCACCGTGTGTCTATCTGCTCTTGCGCTGCTCACTCTTGCACATCTGAATGAACCCTTGCCAGGATCCATGGCGCCCACGACAGCAACGCGCGCCATAGACCATGCCGCCATGCCTGCCAACTCCGCCGCTGCTTGCGCCTCCGCCTCCGCCTCCGCCTCCGCCTCCGCCTGTGCTTCTGCCTCCGCCTCCGCCTGCGCCTCTGTTTCCGCCTCTGCCCGAGTGCACGCCCTTCTCGCCTCGCTGCAGCACCTCATCCCCTCCTCGCCGCCGTCCGCACTCCCCCCCGCGCCACCAGCCACGCAACCGCACCTGCAACATCCTCACCAGCAGCAGCAGCAACAGCAGCAACGCCGGCAGAAGCAGGAACAGCAGCAACAGCAGCAGCAGCACGAGCAGCAGCAGGGCCCGATACTAGAAGGTTAGCCTATTGTGGATACCCGCCAGCCTTCCCAAAGGTTCTACTGTTCCCTCCTTGCGCCTTTCTCAGTGTCTTGTACTCACAGTCTGTTCTTGTCCTTTATTTCCGCACTCCCTCCCCTTCGCCCTTTCCCCTTCCCCCTTCCCGCTCCCCCCTCTCCCCCTTTCCCCCCACTCTCTCCGCCTGTGTTCTCCCACAGCACGCGTGCCGAGGTTTTCCTCCCGCTCTCGCGCCCACATGTCTCTGCCGCAGTCTCCTTTCTCCACGCCCCCCTCCCGCCCCGGTCCCACGGCCCTCCCCCTCTCGAATCACCAGTCCGCCTCCCCTTTCTCCGTCCCCACCGCGCCTCTCAGCGGTCTCCCGTCTCTTCCTCCTCGCATACTTGCTGAGAAATCTCCCCCCTGCTTGGCGGCGGTTGCCCCTGCTGCATCTGCCGCGTCTCTCCTTCCGTTCTCCTCAGCCCTCCACCCCCACCTGCAATCACACCGGCCAGCACTCGCGCCAGCACTGGCACCAGCACCAATCGCTGCGCAGATACTGTCAGCTCCACTACCAACTCTAGCACCAGTGCTTGCACCCATACTGCCAGTTCCAGCAGCTCTAACACCAGCAGCAGCAGCTATAGCATCAGCACCGACAAGTTTTATAAGCAGCCGACACAAGCGGTGCGTGTTTGTGAAGCAATTGCTTCCGGTTCCTTGCGATGCTCATTCGCGTCCCATGGATGTACTCTGTCCATCATTAGCTGTCCAGTACCTTGCTGCCCTTTTTCCTCTCCCCATGCTCCCTTCTGCACTCGTCCCCTTGTCCCGTCCCCCCTCTGTCTCCCGTTGCATCCATTCGTGCTACTCCCCATTCGCCTCATCTGTGCCCCTACCCGCCTATCCAACCCCCTTCTATGCTCCACCCCCCCCCCCCCCCCCGCTTTCGGCGTCTCTGATGGGACATTGATCTCCCTTCACCCCCCTCTTTCTGCCATGCCCGTCGTCTTGTCATCCCCTGCTTCCACCTCCCACCTCCTCTTGTGCGCCTCATCGGTTCATCGCCTTGTCGCCTCGTCGCCTTGTGGTCTCGTCGGGTCGTGGGGTGGGCGTCCACCAGGCTGCTGCGCAACAGGGTGAACGCGCAGCAGGCGAGGGAGAGGAAGCGGCACCAGGCAGCAGCCATGGAGGAGCGCTGTGAGGCGCTGGCGCAGGAGAACAGGCAGCTGGAAGCTGCAGTGGAAGCCGTTTCGCAGGTCAGTCAGTCTGCGGGCTGCTGCTGCTGCTGCTGCTGCTGGTTTGCTGCTGACACCCTGCTGCCATGGCTGCCATTGCTGCCGTACTGTACATGCGTACTGCTTCTTTCAAACGGATGGGGCTGTTGCGTTCGGTAGCCGGTTATATTACATGTGATTGGCATATCATACCGGTATGTGTCAGTCGTTTGATGGTTGGGTTGGGTTGGGATGCTGGAGAGGCTGCGGATCGCCCACCTGTCCTTCATGCGCCTTTCATTGTGTTCCTGTGACTTGTCTCACCTGTTTGTCCCCACACCCCTCCCTCGCTCTGCCCTTGCTTTGCGCAGGAGAATGAGCAGCTTCGGCAGCTGGTGCGCAGGGGCGTGCTGTCAAGGGGATAGGAAACATGAGGGAGCAGCCAGCCAGCACAGTGTGGAAGTGTTGTTTACCTGTGCTAATCTGTGGCGTGGGGGGACGAGAGAATGGGGATGATGAATAGTGGGTTCGAAGTGAGTGGTAGTAGGATCTGGTAATGGAGGGAACGGCAGGGCATAGCGAACGGGTAATAAGGTGCGCTCAATATCAGTGCCTCGCTTTGATTGGGATGGGGAGGGGGGGGGGGGCGTTGGTGGTTTGTTCTTTGACCTACCGTACCCAGTATTATGCAGTGTGAGCTTGTGTAGGAATCTTAAAGTCAGGGAGTGATGTGGTGTGTGATATCATGTGACCTGTACATATTTCTTGTACCATAGCAAGGTTGTCCATATGAGCATTGGTGTGCAGTGTAACCTGAAATTTACCTCATATTGCCACACAACCCCCCGGTCACATGAGCAAATGAGCGAATTATGTTTCAATCAACATGGAACCCCATTTGAGTTGTGCATGCAGCATGTTTTGCTTTGTTGGGACAACCGACCAGCCAGCTGGATATTTTGCGGCATGCCATTGTTCCCGTGGGGGTGGGACAAACTGTCGCACATTCTGTGCGGCGGTCAAAATGTCCTTTGATGTTTGGACATGCAAGGCACCAAATCTTGCAGCAAAGCGCGTCACGTCACAGACCATGGTGCTGTGATGTGAAGTTGAAGCATAGCTTGTGAAGTACGGAATGAATGAAGGTCATTTTTTCAAACAGGTGCCCTACTATTACTGTCTCCAGCCTCTGCTTCTCACTAGTGCAGGTCATCTAAGGCGGGGGAGTGGATGGTGTGGTGGTGTCACTTCTAGGGCTGTACCGGTCGCGGTATGCATGTGGTGTGGTGCTGGTCCCCACAGCAGCATGGGGGTTTTATTTGAGTTGACTCCACACCACAGCCACCTCATGAGCGCACGTCCTGGATGTTCGAATTGGAGGGGAAGTGGATGCCTGCCAAGACCTCTAGAGATGGACGCAGGCGGGACCCCTAAGTCTAGTCACTCATGTACGTTGCAGGTCATGTTATGATAAGCCCTTGAAGAGCGCATGTCATGTGCCAAGGGGTCCTCGTGAGTGCATGTCATGTACTATGGGGTCGTCGTCACGACCGCAGGTCATGGATGTGGGGAAGTGGACACCATCGCCTCTGGAGATGCATGTGGGACCAGGGTTGGCAAAACTCGAGCCGACTCCACACCGGCCTCACGATCGCAGGTCATGAATGTGGGGAAGTGGACACCGTCGCCCCTAGAGATGCATGTGGGACTTGCAGGCATGCACAGGCGTCATTCCAGTCGACTCCACAGCGGCCTCACGATCGTAGGTCATGGATGGTGGGGAAGTGGATGCCGTCGCCTCTGGGCACGGAGGTGCGCGGCAGCAGCATGAGCAGCGGCCACAGCGGCCCCGACACGTCAAAGGTGGCCTGGAAGTTGCGGCACACGCCCAGGTCAAACTCGTTCACCCACACCTGGTGAGACGGGGAGGTGCAGAGAGCGGTGCGGGGAGAGACAGAGGGGTTTTGAGGTGCCTGCGTGATTTTTTTTTTGCGAGTTGCAAAACACATCCAGGTACATGCACACCTGGTACAGGCAGGTGCAGGCGAAGGCGCGGGGAGAAGGTGCAGAATGGTAAGTGCTGGTGAGGAAGCGCGGGAGTGTGAGGGAATGAGAGCTAGCACATGATGGAGTGAGGTGAGGAAGAACTCTAAGGAGGAATGAGTGAAAGAAAGAAGAGAGGTGTCGAAAAGAGGCAGGGACCTGGAGCAAGGGCGATGCATGGGGAAGAGGCTAGGGGGGTGAATGAATCGTATGCAACCAGAGGCCAGACAATGAGAATCTACAAGAACAGCCATACCAAGTCACCACCATAACCACGACAGGGCACCTGGACGGAGTACCTGGACTGGACGGAGCCCCTGGAGGGATCACCTGGACGGATCACCTGGACGGATCACCTGGACGGAGCACCTGGACGGATCACCTGGACGGAGCACCTGGACGGAACACCTGGACGGAACACCTGGACGGAGCACCTGGAATGAACACCAGGTGACGGAACAGCCATGTTAACCCTCACCTGACCAGCTCGACTGGCCTCTTGAAGTCAGAGCACGACGTCCTAGATGTCAATGGTGGTCTGCACAATGGCTGCCACCTTGGGGTCGACTCACACCTCCTCATGTTACATCTAACGAGCCCAACAACACTCCCTCTTTTGTCCGGCTCGTCTGGCCTCGCGGCGCCGCAGCACAAATTCGTAAAAGTCAATGGTGGTCTGCACGGTGGCGAGCTTGAGTTCATTCACCCCCCACCCCTCCATGTTTTGATACACTCGTAACTCACTCGTCCGGCTCGTCTGGCCTCTCGGCGTCGTAGCACGAAGTCGTAGAAGTCAATGGTGGTCTGTGCGGTGGCCACGAGGTACACGTGCCATGCCAGCAGCAGCGCGATGGCGATGAACGCCGCCAGCGCCACCACAAACGTGAAGATCACCCCTGGGAGAGGCTCGGCCATCTGGGGAGAGGGCGGTGGGTGTGGGGTGCAGGGTGGGGGGGAGAGAGCCGAGTGGAAAGCGGCTCGGGCATCTGAGGAGAGGGCGTGTGGGGGGGGAGAGATGAGTGGGGTGGGTGCCAGTGGTGGTGGGGAGGGGGGAGGGGGGAGAAGGGGGGAAGAGGAGTTGTGGTTTGAGGCGCCTTGAAGCAGAGCCGGCACAGAGGTGGGACACGGATTGTGGGGTGAGAGTCTGAGAGATGCGCAGCAGTAGGGGCGAGCGGGGAGAGGGAGAGGAAGCGCAACAGACTGGGAGAGGAGAAGTGTGGCGAGGAGAGGGGGGAGGTTGGAGGAAGCGTTGGCAAAAGGAAGGAGGGAGAGGGGAAGGATGCAAGGAGGTAGTTTGGTGCAAAAGAGACTGGGGTGGGTGGATGTACCTTTTCCCGGTCGGCTATGAGCATTGTGGCTACTACCACTGAGTAGCCACAGCCCACCCACAGGTACAGCACTGCTTGAGTGTGGTGCGGGTCGGGAGGGGGGTAAAAAGAGGGAGGGAGAGAGGGAAAGAGGGAGGGAGGGAGGGAGGGAGGGAGGGAGGGAAGGATTAGTATTGAGGGGAGGAGAGAGGAAGACGGAAAGGGGGACTAACGTGATGGTGTGTGGAGGACAGAGGATTGGGAAGGAAGTGGCACGGGGAGACCATGGCTGGGTGCAGTTTATTCATCGTGTGAAGAGGGGCCGAGGTGGAAGGGTTAAGAAAATAGCAGATACGAGAGTGAGAAAAGAAGGAGGACAGGATGGGCCGATCGGGGTTGTCGCGAGGCAGAAAAGGCTGATGGCTAGAGATGGGGGGAGAAACGTGAACGCACAGAAGAGGAAGAAGTATCGGTAGTTGCGAAGGCCAATGCAGTTGTGCATCCACGCTGGTGGTGGGAGGCGGAGGCGGAAACCAAGGGATGGAGCAGTGGGACAAGCAAGGGGAGGGATAAGTGCACAGTGGAGGGGCAGGGAGACAGAGGGAGGCCGAGGGAGAGAAAGTGGGAAAGGCCAAGAGGGAAGGGCGAGAGGGTTGAGTGGTGCGGATGGGCAGTTTTAGAGATAGGAATTCCAAGGAGTGCTTGATAAGCATGAGGCAGTGTCACCTGGCAGGACCAGAGTGGCATGGCATGTCAGGGCATTGCATGGCATGGCAATGGCAATGGCTAGGCAATGGCTATGCAATGCATGGTACGGCATCGTGCAGAACAGAGGGGCATTGTGAGACAACACGGGAAAAAGACATGGATAGATGGAGAGGTAGAGATGGAGGTGTGTGTGCGCGTGTGTGCGAGCGAGTGTGAGTGTGCAAGTGATTGTGTGTATGTGAGAGTGCGGTACATACGACAGTGATGGTCCATCTTGAGCACACATCTGCGCAGGAAACATATGCAGATGCAGACAAAGGGAGAGCAGTGGCGACATGAGAGGCAGAGGTGACAACCCCCCTGGCATGCGAACAACCCTTCTTCGCATGTGACCAACCCTTCTTAACATGCAACCACCCCCCATACGGACGCCTCCAGCACCCCAATCAGCATGCAACGAACACCCTTTAGCACAGGCGCACCTTTCACATATATGACAGTGATGCGTCAGAGGGGGTTTCAGATTCTGACCTGCCACCAGGGGGGGGAACAGGAGAGCACACATGTGTATGATGTATCCAACAAGCCATGCCATACCATGAATCCACAGGAACAGCTGCAAATGATTCGCATCCATGCAGAAACAAGCACCCACACCCAGACACATACACACACATAAACTTCATAGAAGGTGCCCAAAGGCTACTGCACCACTCACACTTGTCGCACCAGCGCACACACGGCATGGAGTCTGAGAGGTTCAGCTGCATGTCTGCCACGGCCCGCCCCATGCTCAGGCGCACATCGCCCTGTGGCCCCCTGCTCTCCTTGTCTGGGAGCTGCCGTGCCATGAAGGAGAGGCAGGGGGAAACAGGGAGAGGCATGGGAGGAGTATTTTGAGTCGACTCAAAATACACCCATGATAAAGCGCACCTCGCCCTGTGGCCCTCTGCTCTCCTTGTCCGGGAGCTGGCATGCGCATGTGGCAGGGGGAAACAGGGAGAGGCATGGGAGGAAGGCCTGGACAGGCATGAGAGGGATGAGAGGGATAAGAAGGAATCGTTATAGAAGGGAGGGGGGGACAAGTCAGGGCGTCGGGTGGGGAGAGCAAAAGAAGCCAATGAAAACACCAGCGGGCATCGGGAAAAGAACCCATCGTTCTCTCTCTCTCTCCTCTCACAGCAACCCCATCAAATTTCCACCCATCCCAGCTCCACCCTCCCCCACATAATGCCCTCCATGCCACAGTGCGCTAACTCACCGCGAGGGGAGGGGGCGAGCCAGGGTGCCTGGTGGCGGCACAGTAGAAGTTGAAGAGAATGTTGAAGGACACCCACGCAGCTGCTATGAGACGACTCAATTTCCGTTCAGATTTGAGATGTCCCAAAACTCACCGCAAGGGGAGGTGGCGAGCCGGGGTGCCTGGTAGCCGCACAGTAGAAGTTGAAGAGAATGTTGAAGGACACCCACGCAGCTGCTATGCCGTGGCATATGCCGGCGGGGGTGTGCATGGGCCATGACATGGGGAGTAGCAGCGTGAAGGCCAGATAGATGATGGCGCTGGTAGATGATAGAAAAGGGGGTGGAGTGGAGAGAACAGAGGGGGGAGGAAACGGGGGAGAGGAGAGAGGGGGGAGAGCTTTTGAGTCTACTCAAAAGCACGGGCCATGACATGGCAGCAGCGTGAAGGCGAGATAGTGACAGCATTTCACTACCCCCCTGAGGGGAAGCGGGGGTAGAGTGGGGAGAGGAGGGGAGGGGGGCGAGGAGAGGGGAGATGAGCTGGAGGGGCTAGAGGAGAGGCGGGAGGAGAGGTGGAACAGAGTGGCTGGAAGCAGAGGACAAACAGATGGGGGGGAGGTGCTACGTTTGGCTAGCTGTTGTGGTGAGAAGGAAGAGTGAGAAACGCAAGGGGGTTTATTTGACTGCAAGAGGAGAGGCGACGGACGATGAGACACTGTTGCACGAAGGGCGAAAGGGAGGACGCAAGGGGGGTAAGGTTCGAGGCAAGGGGTACGGGGGACAACAGCAAGGGTGGAGGATGACTGACAGGACGAGGACGAGGGCGAGGAGGACGTAGAGTGGCCCATTTTTTAGGCGCCCCAAAAATAGTCCCAGGGAAGGGGCACTGGGGACAAGACAAGGGACACTGGTGGGAGAAAACTGACAGGATGAGGACGAGGGCGAGGAGGACGTAGAGTGGCCCCAAGACCTTGACCGTTGAATCGAGGAGAATCTCCAGTCGCAGCATCACCCACTCCCACCTGGGCCAGAGCTCGCATGGAGAGCCCGAGCAAGGGAACAATGTGATCCCAAGGAGGGGGTGCAACGCGGAGGGGAGTGGGAAAGGTAGGGAAAGGGAGGAAAACGTGGGGTGGGTGGGGAAGGGATGAAAGAGCCACGCGAGGAACAAGTGTGATGGTCTGGAGAAGATTCAGAGGTTTGTGAGGAGAGGCGCGGACGGGGAGGGAAATGGGCGACAGCAGACGACGGACGGAGCGGGAATGGAGGCATGAGGAGGAGCAGCAGGAGACGGGGGGTGGAGATAAGGATGGACGGAACGTTTGCTACCACGCGGAGCGGAAATGGAGGCATAAGGAGCAGGGAGCGGCAATGGAGTGGCCGTCTGTTCGCCTGATCGCGTACCCCACATCGAGGCGACGAACCCACACGCGAGGGAGAATGGACGCCAGTCGTCTCGCGCCAGGCCCGCACATGGCTTTAAGAGGCCAGCACCAGCGTAAAAGCCACGGCAGAGAAGCCGATTGCACCCACGACTGATTCTCAGGAACTGAACCGGACGAATGGATGAGTGGTAGTATTGGAGCAATGCAGACTCGCTCCTGTGTGGAGGGAAGGCTCTTTACCGCACACGACTGTGACGGAACTAATCACTTCTGACCGCCTGGTATGAACACGGTGCTGGACTAACGGTAAGTGGCGGATTCGTATGTCGACGCCTATCGATCATCCATGAGAGTCTCACAAGTCGCCACCAGTTCAGCAGTCCACATCGTGTGAGACGGAACTTGGTGGTAAAACTTTCTGAAACACGAATCCGGACGCAACAATGCAAGCCTGCTACTTAGCAGAGGCTCTTAGCTCTCCTTTATGGTCCACTGAGAACCATTTGACTGATACGTGTCGCAGTCCTGGCCGAGCTGTTGCTGGCCCGAATTCAGCAGGGTGGAGCTGTGCTTCCTGTCCTGTGACTGGAGGAGATTTCAGCGAGGCCCAGGTACAGTAATAATGAACGCTTTGAACAGAGCGCCGCCAATAATGAACGCACATGAGATCAGGTCCACGCCGAACCTCGTTAGTGCACTTGAGCCAACGACAGTTGAGCTTACACTTGCTACATGGCTGACAATAAACCAAAACAGCAGTATATTTATCGCAAACGCAAAATACAAGGTTCAATGGTCCACAAAAAAAAAAACAGGAAAGGTGAAATAGAGCTGGTGACCAGCAAGATGCTAGCCAAAATCAGATATAGAAAACAGATGCAAAAGCAAATTCAAGACATTTGAGTGATAGCCTGTGGATGTGGCTGCTGCATTGCCAAGGGCTGCTCCTGCACTCCCTCTTGGACGGCCTCCTCAGCCATCATTTGGTGCTGCTGTTGTTGCTGATCCAGCATCTGCTGCTGCTGCTGCTGCTGAACCTGCTGAACTTGCTGCTGATCCTGCTGCTGCTGCTGCTGCTGCTGCTGATTCATAAGCAGCTGCTGCTGCTCAGGCCAGTGTTTCATCCTCTCAACTGCCTTCTGAAGCAGCTCCTTCCGATGCCTTTTGAAGCTGCTCATCTCAGTAATGCCCGAACCAGGCTCACGGCCATCGGCACCACCAGGAACCGCCTTCTCACCGCCAAGGGCTTCTCGCAGCTTGGAAATGCTGCCTTCAAACTCCACACGCAAGATTTCTTCCCAGTAACGAATCGCAGCGTCCAGGCTTCCACCGAGCTCGGCAGCCTTCTTCTCAATAGCGTGAATAATGCGCATCTGCAAAACAAAAAAGAGAAATGGTTAGCCAGTGATAGTGGGTAACTGGACAGAAACGATGTCCAATACAGCACCTGCTTGCTCCAATACTTGTAGTCGTTCTTATGCCTCCACCAAACGCATTTGCGATCGCGCTTCCGTGCTTCTTCAAGCTTTTCAATAGACGGGCCACCGTTAATGCCATCCTTCCATTCCGTCCAAACATCAATGACCTTGCTCTCGGAGCTGCGATTCACTTCATATCCTTCAGGGTTAACAAGGTCCGCTTCAAATCCACCAGGAGTGCTCCCAGCACCGAGCAAAAGCTGGCCTCCTGGACCTCCTGGTCCACCAGGAGGCGGGGAAAGCATCCTGCGGTTTCTTTTTCCTTGCCCTGGTGGTTGAGATGGCTTCAGCGCTGGAGATGCAGGCACAAGAGACGGCGGCATAAGCGAAGCAGCAGACGCCATCTGCTGAGGCTGCAGATAATCGGCCGGGGTTCCACATGCTGTGAGAGGCTGACATCCTAGTTGTGACAAATGATGTTGCTGCTGCTGAAGATGTTGCTGCTGAGGGGGTTGTTGGTGCTGCTGATACGGCTGCTGATTCCTTGAGTCGGTCTGCAACTGCTGCTGGTGAGCTCCAACAGGAGGAATTCCTGATCAGAAAAACACATCCGAGAAGGTAAGTAACATCGAAGCGGAAAGCACGCGCACGGCGCACACCGAAGCGCTTTCAGATAACGCCGTATGACTTATAGAATCACTACGATATAAAAGAAATGTCTCAAAACGGTATGAAATTTCCACCTGATGTAATCGTGAGAGTAGAGCCACCAGTGAGAGGAGAGTCCGAAAACAAGATCCTGAGAAAAATAGTCTCTTGAATTCGCAACTGCTCTTTCTCCTTCCACAAGCAGTTCCGAATGTGACGGCAATCGCTAACTCGCTCCTTATCACCGAGCTCAGCTGCAGACTCTACTTCCCTACAGACTACAGTAAGTTGGTTCTCAACATTGGCGATGTCACGGCGAACGCGCATCAATTCGCCCCTAGCATCATCAGGGCGGTAGGACGCCATGTTGCCGTCGCTGCCCTCAAGGACAAGGGAACGACAAGAGCTCGGATGAACGATAAGCCAGGAGCTCGCAGGTAGACGAGACGAGGGTTGCGATAAACAAAAAGCTGAAGGCTCAGGTTGGGCGATAAAACGAAACCCTGGAAGCAGATGGGCGATTGTTGAGGGAAATGGTTGCGATGGACCAAGGTGCGGCTGGCGATGGTTGCAAGGGGAAGGGGTCAAGGAGGAACGGAAGGGCGACTGAATGACCCCAAGGTGACTGCGACAGCGGAAACCCCAAGGCGATCTGTTGGGCGCATGTGCGGCGATTCCCAGGGCAAAGCTTCATCTCAGCGGCTACGATACATTTCAGGCGCTGTATCGACGGTCATTATTCAATAAGGAGGTTTTGAAGTGACCCCAAGGCTGGGCATTGGGCAACGAGGCTGTGACGGAGGAAATCGCAAACCCTTGCAGTGCTGTGTTTCGACAACCATATGATTTGCAAGGGCGCAGCCCCTGGCAGGATTCCACATCAGCAAGGATGCAGTTGGGGAACGCTATTCGCCGAGCAACCCGAAATTTGGACAGCCTCGTCGTCGGCCTACCAAAATTGTCGCCCATAGAACCAACCATCGTTTGCTGACATGGAGCATGACACGACTGCAAATCGGCAAGCTCTTGCGACAACTTCCAACCACCCTGCCCAACTGCTTTTTACGTTACATGCGATGTACTGGGTGCGATTCCTTCTCTTGGAGAAGCTATATTACTCATAAGGGACCAGGATCAAAAGTAGGTGGAAAATTAGAGTTAATTTCAGCGGAGGAATAACATCTCAATTCATGCACATTTGTGGCCTGGTTTACGTAGAACGTTTAGACGACATTCCGTTTCACCGTTGCGCACCTTGCAACCTATAAGGATATAAGAAGATAGATTTCTCTGTGGCGGTTTGTGCATTTTCGTCCCGTTAGTGAAGTTATACTTAAAGTCAATGAAGTTATAAATCCAATGTAAGGATCTAGGTCATGTGAAAGCTTTGTTCATTATCCTCAACAAGTGTACGGATAGATTGAGTTCGCGTTCTTGTGTCGAGCGTGGCAGGTCTTCCTAACAGCTCACTTGCTGGAACGAGGTTTTCATGCCCGTTATTTCCCCGCGCAGATTTTGGTTTGGCACCCAACCAACGAACCTATCCCTCCCTGGCCTCCTTCCATACCTCGGTTTGGCCAGTGTGTTGTTGGGTTTGGTCTTGATATTTCCACCAGCTTCCTCCCCTTACCATAATACCGCAGCAACCGTGCAACACTTGCTTTCTCTCCGTGCTCACTCTACCCATTAGCTTCCCCTCAACATTTCCTTTCCCAGCCTGCATCTGTTCAACCATGGGGTCGGAACGCGAGGATCAGGTTTACCTTGCCAAGCTTGCTGAGCAGGCTGAACGTTATGACGAGATGGTGGAGGCTATTGAGAAGGTTGCGAAGCTCGCTGACTCCGTGGAACTTTCGGTTGAGGAGCGCAATCTCCTCTCGGTAGCATTTAAGAATGTCGTCGGAGCTCGCCGTGCTTCATGGCGCATCGTCTCTTCGATTGAGCAAAAAGAGGAAAGCAGGGGCCACGAGGACCGTGTTGCTATTATTAAGGAGTACCGTGCGAAGATTGAGAAGGAGCTAGACGAGATCTGTGGACGCATTCTTGCATTGTTGGACACACATCTTATCCCTGCATCGACTTCGGCTGAGGCAAAGGTCTTCTACCTGAAGATGAAGGGTGATTATCACCGTTATCTTGCGGAGTTCAAATCAGGAGCAGATCGCAAGGACGCTGCCGAAGCCACTCTGGCGGCTTACAAGGCGGCTCAGGTATGTCTTGCACTGTTGCACCATTTTTTTTTTTCGGCGGTTAAAAAAAACTGCTGACTTTTTGTCATGACTTAGGCGTCCGTGAACGGTGGATTCTATACTCTCCAGTTCTTTTTCCTGACTTCTCGTTGCTGCCTTGTCCTCATTGCTCAGGATACTGCAAATGCTGATCTCGCCACTACTCATCCGATTCGCCTGGGTCTGGCTCTCAACTTCTCCGTCTTTTACTACGAGATTCTTAACTCTCCGGAGCGCGCGTGCACGCTTGCTAAGCAGGTAATGTCGTTTTTTTCCTGGGTTCACATGCTTCTGAAGCCTGCTTGGTTCCTCTTGCCCAGTTCTCACGTCGTTCCTGTCCGCGCTGCAGGCTTTTGATGAAGCGATTGCGGAGCTTGACACGCTGGGTGAGGACTCTTACAAGGATAGCACACTCATCATGCAATTGCTCCGGGACAACCTCACTCTCTGGACCTCGGATATGCAGGTATGGTTTCCTAGGTGCATTAATACTCTCTTCTGGTTTAATTTGGATGCTATGCTTTTGTATGCGTGGTGGGTGCTGGTCACAAACCGTGCCTTTCTGTATGGCATTCATTGTTTAACCTGTTAATGGTGCTATTTACTGCAGGATGAAGCAGCAGAGGAGAAGCCTGATGATGCGTAAGGTCCATGTGGGAAGCCAGGACAGGAGGCTGATGTGTGGTGTCCAGCGGGTGGCACGGTAGTTCAATGGTGTGGTGGCACTATGGTAGTTATTCTTCGGTAGGCTAGTAGCTTATTAGGACTCGGTTGCAAGCGTGTTCGTACTTGTGGGATTATTGCTTCCAGACTAATTGCTGCTACTTCTGGATTGACGCATTGAGTGGACCATTTACGCCTCTTCTTTTTAAGTAGTGTAGTTATTAAGTAACGGTTGGGAGAGTTCGTAGAGTAAGGGCGCGTTCCCTCCGCCAGTGGATAATGCGTCAGGACTTCGACAGAGGTGGAATAGACTGCCACGGGACAAATTTGGCACTTCGTGTCAGGCCTCTGCAGAAATAGGTGACTCAAGGTTTCCTGGCACGCGTGAATGACAAGCTATTGGTCAGATCAGCTTCAAAGCGCATGACGTGGCATTCACGCATTGAGCAAAACCCGCATTCCGCTTATGTTTGTCAGGGCTCCCTCGTGGCATACCTGCCAAACATCCCTCCAGTGTCATGTGGCAAGCAAACCCAGCAAATCGGTTGGGTCCCTCCATAATTCCGCCTCGACACAGCGTCTTGGCCGCACAGATTGTGGATCTGACGTCACGCATTGTCCAACAAGACACATGCATGCACCTCGCACATCACACCTTGCGTTTCTTTCCCTCTCACCGTATCCCAACGCACTCTATCTCATAAAAACGCACCTAACCCCATAAGATCCACCAAATCCATCTCCCTCTTGTTTTATATCTTTCCAGTCGCTTCACCTTTCATGCACCCACACCCATTTGCACCTTATCCCCCCGCTGCGCCTTAGTCTCTCCCTCGCTCATTTCATACATATTTGCAATGTCGCAACCTGTTCTAGCATTCGCTAATCGAACTTTTATCACGAGCTGCTCACCATCTCGACTCGGCATTCGCTTCTCCTGTGCTAGACTCGGGTCATCCTGCACCAGAAGTGCTCACCGCATTGCACGGCCTTTCCTGTCTACAGTCCCACCGCATCCCCGCACAGACTCAGCGTCACTGTCGTCCCACGCCCACGCTCCTCTCGCCGCTGCATCCTCGAGCTCGTTTCTCCGCCCAAGAGGTGAGCAGCTTGCGCCGAATTCCGTCCAGCTTGGAATCTGGCATTGGCATGCACATCGAGCAACGAATTCTGGTTGTCCATTGCGGCTTTTTCACTCCTCTAGCAGTTGACGGTGCTTCCCTTTAGCGTTGTAAGCGAATCCCACCCATGGCTGAACACTTTTCGGTTTCTAGTTCTACCCGACTCTCGCGTTACCTTCTGAATTCGTTAATGAAATCCCAAGTTATCCTTCTCGCCCACCCCTACTTTCACTCTCCCGTCCCGCAATGGTCCGACTCCCCACAGCAGCCCTCCACTCCCGCCCTTCCGCAACCTCCTCCACCTCCGCCTCCGCTTCCGCGACTTCCGCGATGGGGGAAACGGTGGAGTCCGCAAGGCCGCGCGTGCTGGTGGTGGGGAAGCAGCTGCCGCGCCTGGTGTCGGACCTGGAGCAGTTCGCGGCGCTCGTGCACCTGCCCACCGACGACAAGGCGGCGTGGGACGCGCTGCTGGACGCGCACGCGGGGGAGATCCGCGCGGCGGTGACCAACAGCTTCTGGGGGTTCCCCGCGGAGCTGTTCGAGCGCCTGCCGAAGCTGGAGATCATCACCAACTTTGGCGTCGGCGTGGACTCAATAGGTATGGCTGGGTGCAGTGCTGGCTGGGAAGGGAAATTAGGGGAATCAGGAGAATTGTAGGAAAATTAAGGGAATTCAGCTGGATTCAAGTACCTCTGTTGAACATTCATTGCTTACCCCTGGTTTGGAGACTTTTGAGTCGACTCAAAAGTCATCAAGTACCTCTGTTGAACATCCATTGCTTACCCCTGGTTTGCTTTTTCCCTTCCTCGTTTCGCATTCATCTCCAGTAAGGGCCACTCAACAGTCACTCAAGGGAACCCCTCTTATCCCCTGCCTCCCTCTCTGCCGTCCCTTCCCGTGCCTCTCTGCATTCTGCAGACGTGGCAAAGGCCAAGGAGAAGGGCATCCACGTCACCAACACGCCGGACGTGCTCACGGATGACGTGGCGGACCTGGCCCTGGGGCTGATGCTGACTGTGTCGCGGCGGCTGGTGGAGGGCGACCGATACGTGCGCGAGGGGCAGTGGGTGGCCAAGGGCATGATGCACCTTACGCATAAGGTGAGGGAGCGAGGTCGATAGAGAGATTGGTGGGGGGGAGGAGATGACACTGGCTGAAGCGTGATCAAAGCGTGGTTTGGACGAAAATGGGCTAGGGAAAGGAAGAAATTACGACTTCTAAGGCGAAACATTGAGAGGCGAACCGCCATCTCATCCATGGCCACAGCCCTCCACTCTACCCATCCCTCCCAACCTTCGACCTACCACCTTTGCTGGGCCCCGTTCCTCCACCCGCCCCACTTCCCGTAACCCTCTTCCGCTCTGCCTTCATCCCCCTCTACTCTCGTTGCCCACTATTTCCTCCCCCTCTTCCATATCGTCTTTCATATCAAAGTGAGTGGGACTCATTGATTTCGGTAGCATACGCCTGAGAGAATACAGCCCAGCGAGCGGTGGCTGTCAACTGCCTTTCAACTTCCTCTCCCCTCTTGCTCTCCTTGCCCCCTATCCTCCCTGGCTCACTCCACAGGTATCAGGCAAGCGAGTGGGCATCATCGGTCTCGGGCGCATAGGCATGGCCATAGCCCAGCGCGCAGCAGCCTTTAACTGCTCGATTGCCTACTACAGTCGGAGCCAGCGCTCCGACGTGCCCTACGCCTACCACTCCTCGCCCGTCGACCTCGCCGCAGCATCGGACTTCCTTGTTATAGCCTGCCCCCTTACCCCGGAAACGACCCACATTGTGAACACACCAGTGCTGGAAGCGCTAGGTCCAGCTGGGGTCCTGATCAACATCGCCCGGGGGAAGAATGTGGATGAGCCGGCGCTTGTGGCGGCCCTGAAGGAAGGGAAGGTGGGGGGTGCGGGGCTGGATGTGTTTGAGGATGAGCCGAATGTGCCTGGGGAGCTGATGGGCATGGACAATGTGGTTCTGCAGCCGCACGTGGGCAGTGGCACGTTTGAGACCAGGGGGGTCATGGCGGATGTGGCGCTGGAGAACCTCAAGGCGCACCTGGCAGGGCAGGCGCTGAAGACGCCTGTGTGATGTGCTGATGATGGTGGTGGGGTGGTGCAGCTGCTGCAGCTGGTGGTGGTGATGATGTGATGGAAACGAGTGATTTTTTATGTGCATTGGGGGTTATTGTGTAGATACCGCTTATCTTAGGTGCTGCTGGAACGCTGTGTTTTGATTGTTCATATGATTGCGCAATATCATGTGTACTAAAATTTGTCAAGAAACATATAAATATGTCCACATATATCTAGGTACTTATGATATGTTTGTTATGGCCTAGCTAGGTCAATTCTTAGAGGGGACAATATTTCTGTACTTGTATCTCCCCTCCCCTCTTCCTAGTCACACCTTTTCCCGCTACTCTAACATGGTAACAGAGCAAGGTCGTGGAGCAGGCGGTGGGGTTTGTACACCAGGCCAGTCGGTGCCCTGCAGGTCGCATAGCTGTTCTGTGTGCCAGTGGGGGTTGGACACCAGGCCAGTCGGTGCCCTGAAGATCGCATAGCTCTTCTATGAGCCAGGGTGCTGGTGGTTTTGGAGGTGCGGTGGCCTATACGAACCAGTTGCTGACCGGCCTGCAGGCGAGCCAGGTGTGCGGGCGCTTGGGACACACTACCGCTCGCTGCTTCTGCCGCCTCGACGACCTCTACCGCCGTCACTTCGACCGGTACCCCCCTAGCCTGCTTTGCTTCGTCGTGGGGTTCCTATATTTGATATGGATATGAGTCAGATTGATCAGGCCTTGTATGCTCTGTATTTTGATGCTTCCAGTGTTGCTGGTTATTCTTATCCTGCTGTTTGTTGTCTAGGAGCCACTGCTTCGTGCAGTCCACTATCCCCTGCTGCGTCAGGCGTAGGATTTGCTAGAGATTGGTTACTGGGCCCTGTCACGTCGGCCCTCTCTTTTGTCCTCGACTCTGGCGCATCTCGTTGTTTCTTTCCCGACAGTCAGGGCCTCAGATATCAGGATGTTTTATCCTGAATTCCTGATTTTCAGGATGAGTATGAGGTGCCAGACCTGAAAAATCCGATTAAATGAATTTCTGACCCTGTAAATTCAGTATGGTTATCATATGACAACCCTGAGAACTCAGTATAGTGTTCGTGTACCAGCCCTGACTGCTCAGTATGAATTCGAGGATAACCCTGATACCTCGAATCTGGCTTCAGGGGGGGCGCTACGGGTGTACCCCCTGTTTTCTGCCCATAGTTCCATAATTTTCGTGCCAGCGCACATTTTGCCTGTAGATTGTTGCCGCGAAATGACCAGTTTGCCGCGTGCACTGCAAATCCTGTAATTCTGGCCAATAGCGGCTAAGTATACAGCCAGCGCAGCGCACCACAGCCAGGCCTCAGAAGGTGTTGGGGTGCTGCGGTCCACTCGCTGACGCAGCATTGCATGCATGGATGGTTGGACGGCCAACCACTCCATGTGGGGAGGACCAAACTCCCGCGCAGCCATCGCTCATGGTCCTTCCTCCCCACAGCTCCCTTTCATGCCTTGAATCATCCAACCATTCTAGACGATAGAGCTTGTGCTCGCTGGTCTGTTTCTCTGCTGTGAACCGCCCCCTCGTTAGGGGGCACTATGCTTGCGCCAGGATCTGACGACGAGGAGGAGGCTCCCGACGATCCTTCTACAGCGTCCCACCCGGGTGCCGTGACAGGATTAGACTTACTTCTCTGGAAGGCTCTCTTGTTGCTTACCTCGATAGCATCGGCATCAGTCTCTCAAAGGTGTCGGGCATCAGCACCGACGGTGCCGCAGTGATGGTTGGAGCCACGAACGGGGTCGTTGGGCGCCTTCGACAGCGGATCCCGCATGTGGTTTCTGTCCACTGCATAGCGCATCGGTTCGTTCATGCATAGACTTCATATCCCGTTGAGAAAACCGTGCACTAACCACTGTTTCGTCGTGTTTCTACTCCCGTCCATCCAGGGAAGCCCTCGCGGCCAGAGATGCTGCCAACGCGCTGCCTGAGCTGGGAATTGTGGATGCCATCATCCGCGCGGTTGCTGAGCTGCTGGGGCGTTCACACAACTGGCACAAGATGTTCAAGAACCTCCAAAAGATCTTCACGGCGACAAATCTGGAGATGCAAGGGATTCACCTTGTTCGGTGGCTCAGTCGTGGCGGCGCCATTCTGAGGCTGGTGGCGGTGCTTCCTGCCGTCATCGTTCTGCTGCACCTCTACGACAAACCCATGTACCACATCGTCACATCGTACAAGTTTCACTTTTTCCTGTACTTCCTCGCCGACGTGCACGAGGAGCTCAACAGCCTCAATCTGCTGTTCCAGAAGCGCGAGGTGAGCCATTGCGGTTGCAATGGTTTCCAACCAATTCAAACAAAAAACATACTGCCGTCAATAAAAAAATTACTTACTTCCTCGTGTTCTTATTTCATCCCATGACACCCTCCTACAGATCGACCTGACGGGCGTGCAGTCGCAGGTACGGCGAACGATCGTCTTCATTCGTTCGCGCTACGTCAACTGCGGGCCTAACTTCGGCACGAACAGCGATCGCCTGTCCAAGTTTCTGGAGCGCCACGCCAGCAACCGAGATGTGATCGTGCAGGGCGTCGATGCAGACGGAATGGAGCGAGTGCATCAATTCGAGCTTCACGAGGAGCCGCTGCCAAACTACACCACTGCCCGCGGCGACAAAGCTTCCTGCACGCTCACCTGTCGCTCCTACGCGACCGAGCTCATCTACAACGTGCAGCTGCGGCTCGGCGACCTTGAGCGGCTCAACGGGTCAAAGCTGTGGATGCCCCGAACATGGCCGCGGAACACGGAGGCGAGGGACGAGGAGTGCGCCGAGCACTTTGACAGCGTGGTCGAACTCTTCCACGCCAGCGACCGCGTTGAAATTCTGCCAGGTAAGGTTATCCATGCCAATGTATATTATATGCCCAACTTGCTAAAATATTGCAGTTCCTGTATGAGTGTTGCTGATTTACGAGTGTTGCTGTTCCTGTATGTGTCTGGCAGGAGTCGACAAGCGGCTGGCACGCAAGGAACTCAGCACCCTCGTGCCAGTGCTTGCTGGTGTGCCAAAAGAGGAGCAGCCATTCCATGCCGGACTTGCAGCCATCCTGGAGACCAGCGACTGGCCGCGCAGCTACCCGAATCTCGTGCGCCTGTGGGTGGCTGTGGCAGTGCTTCCTCTCAGCACTGTTGAGTGCGAGAGGGGATTCTCGCGACAAAATGTGATTAAGAGCTGGAACCGGACGAGTCTGTGCAACGGGAAGCTGGAGGATCTGATGTGCATGAGTTTGCTAGAGTATGACATGAACTGGGATAGGGTCATTGAGGTGTGGCGCGGCATGAAGAAGAGACGGCCAAGGAGGGCCCACCAGAGCGAAGTGCGTGCGAGGAAGTCTGCCAAGGGCAAAGAGAAAGTGGTGGTGTTGTCCGAAGAGGAGCATGATGATGAGGCACGAGCGGACGATGAGAACAGCTGCTCCAGCAGCGGGTTTAGTTCTAGTGATGATGAGGAGGATGGTGGAAACTTCTGAGTCGAGCCACATGTATGCTGCAGTACTGTGAATATTGATTATCTCTGGTGTTATGCTGCTGCTATTATTATACTTAAAGCAACATTTTGGGCTGTTTTGAAGATTACCCTGAGGCTGCAGTTAAGTGCTGGATGCCAACCCTGACAAAACAGCATGAACATTGACGTCCAACCCTGACCAGTACACGTGTTTTTAAGGCCTAGCCCTGACTAGACAGGATGCCCAAAATCCTAGCTGAGGCCCTGCCGACAGTACTGCTCTCACCCCGCTTCATGCGCCTATCCGCGTCGCACTAACAGACTCCTCCGCCACAGCTGTTGCACGTAGCACCACCAATCTGCCTTGTCCAGCTGTCCCCTCCGGCTCCCTCACCGGTCTGCACATCCCCTCATTTGTCAGGAACCTAGTGGGTGTCGGTCACCTTTAGGACCGAGGCGTCACTGTCAACTTATACATATGCTGTATGTAGAAGTTACAGGCTAGCCTAGGTGTGTGCTTCTAGTGAGTACAACCCCAACAGGTACATGTTCTAGGTTTCTCATACTAGTCCATTTATTCTCTCTTTCTAACATGGTATCATGAGTAGGTTCGGTTCCTCTCGCCCGCCCACGCTTCCGCCCTAGGCCCTAGCTGCCCTCGTGACCCGTCCCTAGCTGGCCCCCTCCCCCCTGGCCGTCCCGTCCGCCCCTAGCCGGCCCCCTGGCCGTCGCGCCCGCCCCTAGCTGGCCCCCTGGTTGTCGCGTCCGCCCCTAGCCGGCCCCCTGGCCGTCGCGTCCGCCCCTAGCCAGCCCCCTGGCCGTTGCGTCCGCCCCTAGCCGGCCCCCTGGCCGTCGCGCCCGCCCTTAGCTGGCCCCCTGGCCGTCGCGCCCGCCCCTAGCTGGCCCCCTGGCCGTCGCGCCCGCCCCTAGCTGGCCCCCTGGCCGTCGCGTCCGCCCCTAGCCGGCCCCCTGGCCGTCCCGTCCGCCCATAGCCGGCCCCCTGGCCGTCGCGCCCACCCTTAGCTGGCCCACTGGCCGTCGCGTCCGCCCATAGCCGGCCCCCTGGCCGTCGCGTCCGCCCCTAGCCGGCCCCCTGGCCGTCGCGCCCGCCCCTAGACGACCCCTCCACAGCGCCCGCCCGGCCCCTGCTAGCGCTCGCCCGGCCTGTTGCGCCCGCCCGGCCCCACCCAGCGCCTGCCTGGCCCCGATACGCCTGCCCGGCTCCTGCGGCCTGCAGCTCCCAGTGCCTGCCCGGCTCCTGCGGCTCCGTGTCTTCTGCTCGGCACGGTTCCTCGGGTCTCCGGCCTCGTGTCTTCTGCTTGCCAATGCTGGAAAGTCTTGCAGACGTCCCCCTGGAGCTGTGCTGCTGTGTCCCTATGCCGCTGTGTCGTGTGGAGCTGTGCCGCTGTCTCGCTGACCCTGCACGATGGTTGACTTCGTACTCTGCCTGGACGTTGAGGGCCATGCGGTTGACTTCGCCGCCTGGCTGTCCGATCTCCGCCGTCAACTCACAAGTCAGCGCCAGGATGGGCACTCCTTGGTTCTCCATATTGATGGCTTGCTCCCCCGCCCCCCTGCGCCTGCTCCCCTCCCTGCTGACCCCACCTCTGCTGAGCGTGAGACTTTCTCTACTGCTGCACTTGCCTGTGCCGTCTGGGACTCTCGCGATGCAGTTGCTCAGGTCGCTCTCAGTCACGCCCTCCCTGTGTCTGAGCGTTAGCGTTTTGCTACGGTTGATACAGCCAAGGCTTATTTAGAAGCTATTGTTGCTCGCTATTCCACGCCTGCCTCCACTACTGCAGGCCACCTGCTCTTCCCTATGCTTTTCCCAGACCTTGCTTCCTTCCCCACTGTTGCTGACCTTGCCATTCACCTGCGCGCCCTAGAGTCTCGCTACCGCATTGCTAGCACTGCTTTGCTGCGCCTGCTGTTGTCGCTCTCGCTGACCCCTCCGCGGGTCCTGTCGTCGCTCGCAGCTCCACTTCCCTTCCCTGTCCAGCCGTTTCCTCGGGCTCTCTTACAGGCCCCCACGTTCCCTCGTTTTCCAGGAACCTGGTTAGTGTCGACCGTCTTCAGGACCTCGGCATCACCACTACGTTCCCTGAGCACGAGCGGTTCGCTGTCTGTACCGAGGCAGTCTCAGGTTCCCCCCTTGCGACGTTCCCCCAAGACCCGGTGTCCGGTCTGTTTACCCTCGACACCGCTTCCCCCCCGGTTGGTGTGTCCTCCCAGGTCGCTGCAGCTTGCTCATGTCGGTCCCTCACACACCCGTCCCTTCTCTGGCACCACCGCTTAGGTCACCCTGCTGTCCCGCGCCTGCGTCAGATGTCTCAGCACGGTCTTGTCTTAGGCCTCCCCGAGTCGCTCCCCGCACTTCCCCCCTCGACTGCGCCACCGTGCACGCCTTGCGTCGAGGGCCGGCTCCGCCGTGCCCCTCACTCCTCCTCGCTTCGCCCTGCTACTGCTCCCCTTCAGACCCTGCACCTGGACGTTTGGGGCCCAGCCCCCGTCCCCGGACCGCGCGGTGAGCACTACTTTCTTGTGCTTGTCGACGACTACGCGCGCTACACCACGGTGTTTCCCCTGGAGCGGAAGGCCGACGTGCCCAACGTTCTTCTCCCGTGGGTTGTGGCTGCGCGTCTTCACCGCGGTCTCCCCGTGCTGTGTCTCCACTTCGACCGTGGCGGTGAGTTCGCCTCCGGTCGGCTTGGACAGTTCTGTCGTGCGGAGGGCATCACCCAGTCGTACACCTTGCCGAACTCGGCACAGCAGAATGGGGTTGCTGAGCACCGCATCGGCTTGGTCATGGAGGTGGCTCGTACCTCCATGATCCATGCCGATGCCCCCCATTTTCTGTGGCCGTTCGCTCTTCGCTACGTTGCTCACCAGCTTAACTTGTGGCCCCACTCCCAGCGGCCGCAGGTTTCGCCGACCCTCCTTTGGACCGGGTCCCCCGGTGACGCGTCTGCGTTCCACGTCTGGGGTTGCCTTGCTCACGTTCATGCCTCTGGCACGGACAAGCTCACCGCCCGCACTGTCCCCTGTATCTTCCTCGGTTTCCCCCTGGACACGTCTGACTGGCTCTTCTACCACCCACAGTCTCACCGCTTCCTCCACTCTCGTGACGTCACCTTTGACGAGCCTGTCTCCTTCTACCGTCGCTTCCCTCACCGAGGTCTCCCAGTTCCCCCCCACTTTTTCCCAGCTCCCTCTCTCCCGATAGCCCTTGCTCCCCTCCCGCCTCGTCCTGCCCCGTCTGGTGTCTCCCATGTCACTCCCCTCCAGTCGGTTGTCTCCGTTGAGGAGTCTGCTGACTCTGGTGGTCCCCCCGGCCCGTCCTCGCCGAGTCCCCCTTCCCCGGTGTCTCCGCCTCCACTGTCGCAGCCGCCGCCGCCGCCGTCGCAGCCGCCGCCGCTGTCGCTCCTGCCGCCGCCGTCGCCGCCGTCGCCGCCGCTGCCGCCGCTGCAGCTCTTGGCCTCTGGGGGTGATGGCGTTGAGGAGGGTGTTCGTCCTGCGGCCCCTGGCGGGGTCTGTCCCGGCGAGCCTGGGGGTGCCGTCGGTGCTGGAGGGGGTTCTCGCTCTTGGGGTGTTGGTTCTGGGGGTGCTGCTGTTGAGTGTTCTCCCAGCGGCCGTCGTGCCCTTGCCGGTCCACGGGTCGAGCACCAGCCACCGCAGCAGCCGCCGCAGCCGTCGCCGCCGGTCTCTGCTCTTCGCCTGCTCGGCCTTCCCTCCCCGGACCGCTCACCGGTGTCTCCCCCACCACCTTCTCACTTTCCTGTCTCCAGCCCTTTGTTCCCACCGCCGGACTCGTCTCCGGCCCGTCTTCCTCCTCGTTCCCCTTTTGTGTCCCCTCCGCTGTCTCCTGACCCTACACCTCCGTCCCACGTTTGGTCTCGCCGTCCCTCCCGTACTTGTCCCGTCTCTCCTGTCCTGCGCTCCCACGCTATGTTGCTCCGTTCCCACTCGTCTCGTCCTCCCCTCCTCCCGTTGCCTCCTCCCTAATCGCTTGTTGTTGCACCTCCCCCGCTGTCTGACTACCTTCGTGCCGCTCGTCCCCTTGTCCCTCGGGTTCTTGGCTCTCTTGTTACAGACCCGTCTATTCCTGTCTCGCGCCTTGACGCGCTTGTCGTTGCTGTCGCTGACTTTGCCTCTACCCGCCGCCTTGACTACGCGACCGCTCTGGTCTCTGACCCTGCCCGTCCTCCGTCCCTCGGGGTGCTCCTGCCCTTGGCACTGACGTCCTAGAGGACAGGCAGTACGAGCTTGCTTTTCTTTCCGAGGCCGCTCCCCATCTCTGCTCCATGCTGTTAGTCCCAGAGGGTGACCTCGATGTCTTCGACATCCCGACCCTCGCACCTACGCTGAGGCCACCTCGGGACCTTGGGCCTCTCAGTGGATAGCTGCCATGGAGCAAGAGATGGCATCTTGGAGGTCCACCGGCACATACATCGACGCAGTTCCCCCGCCTGGGGTGAACGTAGTCGATGGTCGGTGGCTCTTCAAGGTGAAGCGCCCCCCTGGAGAGCCACCTGTCTTCAAGGCGAGCTACGTGGCCAGAGGGTTTAGCCAGCGCGAGGGGGTTGACTTCTTCCAGACCTTCGCCTTGACCCCGAAGATGACCACTCTTCGGGCGCTGCTACACGTAGCAGCACAGCGCGAATACGAGCTTCACTCCCTCGACTTCTCTACTGCCTTTCTTCAGGGCAGCCTACACGAGCAGGTATACCTGCGCCGACCAGAGGGCTTCACCGGTACCTTCCCCCCTGGGACTCTGTGGCTTCTCAGGCGCCCGGTCTACGGCCTGCGCCAGGCTCCCCACGAGTGGCACGACATGCTGCGTACCATGCTAGCAGACCTGCATTTCTTTTTATCCTTTGCTGACCCCTCGCTGTTTGTTCGTTCCGGCCAGACTCCGTTCTACATCCTTGTCTACGTAGATGACCTGGTCTTCGCTACTGCTGACAGGGACGCACTGGCCTCCGTGAAGACCGAGCTGCTGAAGAGACACACTTGCACTGACCTTGGAGAGCTGCGCCGTTACCTTGGCCTGCAGAT